GTGCTGGTGCCCACGGTGCCAGCAGGCATGGGACTGCTCGGTGCTGAGGAGGCTGACATTTCAGCGCTGCCCGCCAAGTCCCCTCGGGCTGGCATGGAGGGTGGGGGTGGGGCAATGCTAAGGCCAGGCCTGGGGAGAATTAAGGGAGTATCAGGATGCCCGGCCGGACAGGTGACCTTCTGTACTGAGGAGGTAGGGGGCCTGGTGAGGAGGAGGATCCCGCCCGCGCACGCACATGCTCCTGTGAGCGCGCTCTGAGGCTAAAGGCTGCGCCAGAACAAAGAGCTGGGGGCTGGGCGTCCAGGGCCGCGTGGAGCCGCCTGCCTGGCGGCTGCTGCAATGACTGCCTGCACTCGCCTCCTTAGCACTCTCCCAGGACACACACACACACGCACACACACAAGCATGCATGCACGCACATGCACACACGTGCTCCTGCACCACGGCCGGCTCACCGCCAGCTCTCCTGACAAAGCCCCGCTCCAAGCTCGCTCACTGCATGATCTCATCCTGGCCCTCCTTGGCTGGCCTGGCCTCCTGACAAGGGAGACAGACAGGGGGACGCAGCGCCAGGGCGACTCACGCAGGCATGCACCTACGCACAGATAACATGCATGCAGACACAGATAAGCATGTACATATACACAGCCATGCACAAACACCATGCAGATACATACATGTACACAACCACGCACACACAGACATGCACACAGGTACACATACATCATAGACATACACACACCATGGACACAGCCATGTACATGTACATGGCCATACATAGCATGCACAGATACACACGCGTACACAGCTATGCAGACACACACAGAGGCATGCACAGGTACACAGGCACACACCCACATACAAAGCCATATACTCTCCCCGACACAAACATACACAGCCACACACACACCATACACACAGACCTACAGAGGGAAAAAGTCTGAGACCCAGAGAAACCCAGGAAGGCAGAGAAAGCCATGGGAAGCCAGAGATGGACAGGGGCCGCTGCATAGAGACAGACCTACAGACACCGAGACCAAAGAGAGAACAGAGTGGGGAGCCCTGGGAGGGCAGAACTGCACAGGCATGTCAGACAGGTGTGCAAAGGCAGGAGGGCGGACAGGTGGTCCAGACTGGCTGAAGGGGCTTGAGGGCTGGAGCGAGTTCTGGAACTGCAGAGGCCTCCCTGGGAGTGGGCTGGGCAGGTGGGAGCGGCCAACCCCACACAGGCACACTGGGGCTGTGCCCAGGGGCAGGGTCACTGCAGGTCACACACACGAAGAGACAAGGGGAGACAGGCCAGTGGGAAACAGGCTTGCTGCCACAGAAAGGGTCTTAGAGAGGCTGGGAGTCACATTGGCTAAGAGACAGACATATGGAAGCGGAGGAGGAAGGCTGGAGGGTCATATTTACTTGGCCCCCAGTGTGTGTCAGGTATTAGCTGGGCCCCTTCCTCACTCCCATTATTAGGGGGTCCCACTGCATCCTCACAGGCAGCCCATGACATGGGCTGTCTTCACAGCTGTCTTCACAGACGAGGCCACAGCTCGGACAGGTGGCCAAGAGGAGGCCCGGCGCCGGTGCCATATCTAGGACTTGGGGTCCCAGCTTGACTCACCATGGCCTCCACCCCTCTTATGGCCCAGCCTGCCCCTGGCAGGCCCTTCACCCCTCAAATAAAACCAGCAGGTGGAGGCTCCCCCCTCAGACTGGCCCCCTTTCCTTTCCAGAAGATGGGGCAAGCAGGGGGTGACTGGGATCCCAAGAGCCCGTATGTCTAGAGGGGTGGCCTTGAAAGGTAGTTAGTCATGGCTGTGGGCACTGACAAGGGTTTGACTCTTAATAAGGAAATTCAAGGATGGCCAAGCCACAGGCACTCCTGTGCCTCAGTGTTCTCAGCTGCAGAACGGGTACACTGAGAATTCATCTCCTGGGAGCCTGTGTAGTGTCAGAGGGTCACGTGAGTTCACAGACACAATGCATGGGAAAGGGCTTTCTAAATTATAAAGGCTGTGTTCAGGCGGGGGTGCAGATGGAGGAAAGAACAAATCCCTGTTTCAAGTGAAGAAGTGATGCTGGGAATGCCACTCAGAGGCCTTGCTAGAGACCCCTGAGCAGCATGAAGGGCTCTCTCCAACAGAAATGGACGGCTGCCCAGGCCTGCTGTGATGGGGCAGGCAGAGCCCTGGGCCTGCAGCCAGGGGGCTAGGAGTTCAGGTTCCAGCCCATTACTTATGAGTTGGGTGACCTCAGGGAAGTCATAGGACCTCTCTAAGCTTCCATTTCTTCATCCATAAATGTAGATAGTATTCCGTGTCTCACAAAGCTGGGCACCGCCACAAAACATATGAGAACGCCCAGCATGTGTCAGCAGGGCAGGGGTTTCAGTGACCCTTTGTGGAGGGGCTGCACGGAGACCTGAGTCTCTCCTGCTCCTCTGGAGAGGTGCTGGGCTCCTGGGACAGCCCATTCTCCAGGTCTCCTTCTCCCTCTGTGGCATAGTTTTGCCTCTTAAATATCCCTCTGTCTCCATTCCACTCGTCTTCCTGATCCAGCCACCATCATCCTCACCCCGACCTCCCCAGTGATCTGTCAACCGGCCACCTACATCCAGGTGGGCTTCCAGGCCCCGTGCAATCTGTTCTTTTATAGCCAGAGCCGTCGTCACAAAATGAGCATTTAGCCATGTTCCCATTACTCTCAGGACAAAGACCGTGACCTCCAAGACAGGCCCTGAATGTTTCCGCTGCTGCTGATCTCTCCAGCCTCGCCTTTGCCATGTACCCCCTGCCTCTGGGCTCCAGAATCACTGCATTTCTCTTAGTTCTGACAAAAAGCTATGCATGCTCCCCTTCCACCTCAACACCTTTGCGCAGGCTGTCCCCTTAACTGCAAAGATGCTCTTTCTTGTTTTCTTCACTTACCAACCTTTGGGTCTCGGGGGAGACTGCTACAACCCCAGAGTGGTCTGCCCTCAACAACATCCCCTTGCCATCCTTCACTTTTCCTTCAAGGCACTTATCACAGCTTGAGCTTACACATACACACACACCCCCCTACCCCTCTAATTATTTGATCGATGTTTTCCTCTCCCTCTAGACTAGGGATCAGGAAGTATAGTTAATCACTTGGTTTTTTTGTTCTGGTTTCTTGGCTGTTGTTGTTTTGAGATAGGGTCTTGCTCTATCACCCAGGCTGGAATGCAGGGGCTCGATCTTGACTCACTGCAACCTCCACCTCCCAGGCTCAAGTGATCCTCCCATCCCAGCCTCCCAAGCAGCCTGGGACCACAGGCGTGCACCACCACACCCAGCTAATTTTTGTATTTTTTTGTAGAGATGGGGTTTCACCATGTTACCCAGGCTGGTCTCGAACTCCTGAACTCAAGTGATCCACCTACCCGAGCCTCCCAAAGTGCTGGGATTACAGGTGTGAGCCACTGCACACAGCACTTGTTTTCATAAATAAAGTTTTCGTGGAACCAGCCAACTCCATTCCTCTACGTACTATCTATGGCAGCTTTCACAGAGCCCCCACAGCCTAAGATATATACTGTCTGGCCCTTGATGGAAAAAGCTTGCTGGCCCCTGCTCTGCACTGTGAGTTTCTCGAGGCAGGACCTTTTCTGTTTAGTTGCCCTTGTAAATTCAGCCCTTGCCAGGTGCCTGCACAGTATGGGCACTCAAGAGGTACGTGTCTTTGATAAGTCATTTCTACCTTGTCAACACTGTATTGACTTAAGTCATTATGAAAACAGCACACTCCATCAGGAATAGATGTCCCTTGTGAGATTCCAAGACCATTTTCTGGCAAGCAATTCAATACGATAGCAATATCCCAATGCAGGCGGGCCAAGGGTTTCAGAGTAGCTATTGGCTAATGAGGCCACCACACACTTACGTGTGCAGCGCCATCCGCGTGAGATTATAAGTTGAGCATATTTATGGAAACACATTGTGAGATGTCCTTACAACGTTTTCATGAAGGCTGTGTCTATATACACTCCAAAGAACTGACTGATGAATTCAGTGAAAACGTCCGTTTTATTGTTATACAAAGGAAATAACTTTCTTTTTTGCTTTTTCAACTGCTTGTCCTGACTCCATAAGGAATGTTAACAATATCCAGACATGGTGCTAGGCACTTTATGTATTTCTAGCACTTACAATGACCCCTGAAGTCAGGGGTCTCCTTATCATTCCTGCCTTCCCTGAGAGATCAGCTGAGGCTCAGAGACCACACACTTAGCAAGTGACAGGTCTGTCCGGCTTAAAGCTAGCAGGGCGCCTGAGGCCTAAGCAAGGTTATGAGGATGGTGGGAAATGTAAAATAAAACTGTATCTTTAAAAAGTGCTCAAAGCCCTCCCAGACAGAATGCTGCTTGGCACTCTCCATGGCCCCTGCTTAATACAGGGTTCGCAGGTGATGACAAAGTTGCAATATGGAACCCTGAGTGTAGTGATTCATTTTGTTTTCAATTTTGTTACATTTTAAACAATTTTTGGGGATGAATGAAGGTAGTGGAGTATAAAGGTTAAGAACGCTGATTCTGAAGTACAGGCCTGGGCTTAAATCCCTGCTGTGCTGCCTTCCAGTTGTGTGGCCTTGGGAAATGTCCTCAGTGTCAGTGAGCCTCAGTTTCCTCATCTGTAAAATGGGGAGATCACAGTGCTTATGCCAAGGGGTCACTGTGGTGATGGAGTGAACTGATGCTGGTCCTGCCTGTAGCACAGTGCCTGCTGCTGGGGTTTGGTGTACCTCGGGGCCCTCTCTGGCCCTGTGGTACCCTCCAAGACAAGTATACTCCCTGGGAGAGGCACGAGGACAGCCCCATCTGTGGGTTCCAGAGCCTGTTGGATGAGTAGCTCTTCCTCAGGGGCTCGAACTACACCTAGACAAATGGAGGCACCAGCCGACAGGGACAACAGACAGGCCTGGTTTAGAGTCAGTTCCCCTCCCTACCTCCCGATGACATCGCGGAGTCCCCCACGGACACCTACCGGCAGACTTCGGGGTGAACTTGTCTCGGTTTGCAGCACATACGGCCAGTAGTCTGTAGCCAAGGTCCAGGTCGAAGCCTTGCTGGGCTGCCACCCGACTGACCACCTGACAGCAAGAGGGGAGGAGGGCAGGTGAGTCATGGAGCCCAGAGCCAGTGGATATGCCCGTTTTGCAGGTGAAGTGGGTGAGGTAGGCAGGCTAAGGCAGGCCCCCACCATCAGGCGGAGCCAGGAGTCTACCGTGCCTTCTTCAGTCGCTCAGCAAATACTGATTAACACCTCTTCTGTGCCAGGCCCTGGGATCCTGCCCCCGTCCTCAGGGGTTTCCCAGGCTGACAATGGGCCCGACAGCAAACCCATAGGCCCCGCCGCTTCCAAGGGCTCAGATTTGACCACATTCTAGAAGTCGGCTGGGGATCCTGTACCACCATCCTTAGGGTGGGCCCTAAGGGTCTCTGCTCCATCTGTGTGGCTCTTCCATCTCCTTTCCATGGGGCCTGTTATAAATGCAGACTCTTAGGCCCAGCCCTTCCCCTCCGAATCAGCATGCACCTCATCTAAAGCAGTGATTTAGGCCAGGTGTGGTGGCTCACACCTATAATCCTAGCACTTTGGGAGGCTGAGGAAGGTGGATCACTTGAGGTCAAGAGTTCGAGACCAGCCTGGGCAACATGGTGAAACCCCGTCTCTTCTAAAAATAAAAAAAATTAGCCGGGCATGGTGGCAGGCACCTGTAATCCCAGCAATTCTGGAGGCAGAGGCAGGAGAAGCGCTTCAACCTGGGATGGGGAAGTTGCAGTGGGCCTAGATCGTACCACTGCACTCCAGCCTGGGCAGAACAGCAAGACTCCTTCTCAAAAAAAAAAAAAAAAAAAAAAAAGCAGTGATTTAGAACAAACTGCTTCCCACGGGGCTTCAGGTCAGAGCTGTTTAATGGACTAAGGCTTCCTGGATGGGGCAGGCATCCTAATGCTGCTCTATGCCAAGCACCCTGCGGCCCCCTCAACCTTAGCCAGAAACTGCAGGACTCCCATGCGCAGCCTGGGGTTTGTCTCTAGCCTCAAGCCCCAGCATATGGGGGGCTTCCATAACAGCAGTGATGTGTTTGCAGCCTGAAGGTGCCACCCATCTCCTTATAAATCTCAGAAGCAGGGGCTGGCAGGGTGAGAGGCGGGAGACTGGGAGGGCCATTGGTCCCCTGGGGGGCAGTGTGGGACAGGGCGCTCCAGGGGACCCTCGGATGGCTCTGCAAGTTCATGCCCCTCTGGCTTCACTCTGTCCCCACCCATTTCCAGGTGTCCCGCGACTCCCAGATCTGCTCCCTCACACCCGCCTTCCTCATTAACAGCAGCAAAATTAGCTTTCTCTATTAAGAAGGAAGGACCTTGGAAAATGGAGTCATTTAGAAAGCAGCTGGGGTGGCTATGGCTGAGTGGGGAGAGCACCCAGATGCAGTAGGCTGGTACTTATGAAAAAGGGGGGACTCAGCTGCCAAGCCTCCAGGAACCACCTGCTCCAGAGGCGCCTGGAGGGGCCTCAGACTGCCATGGGGTTTGGCCCGGCCCCCAGATCCAACAGAATCGTTCCCCATCGCCGCTTTATATCTCAGGGATTTGTGAAAGGGGCTCTGGGGCTAAAAGGGGTGGGAACACCATTTATCTAGACCAATTTAAAACAACACTGGAGACTCAGAGAATGTCCCGTGCTAAATCAGGGAGGAGCCAACAGGTTCCCCTTCCCAGGATCACCAGTGACTCTTGGAATGGGACTGTGGCCCTCCCTGCACCCTCCCGTGCAGGGCTAATGTTTGAGCCAGGTTGGGAGGAAAAAGGATGTTGTCAGGTTAGGAAGTTTGCTCAGCGTCTCTGCTGCAAACAGAAGCCCCTGGCACAGAAAGTCTTCCACACTCCCTAGGCCTCTTTCCCACGGGCTTCGTTTGCCCCTCTACATGTCCCAGTCTCTGGGCCACCCCAGGGTGAGGACACCCTCACCATAAGTCTCACCGTCCACATAGAAAAACCAAGGTCCCTAACTCTTTATGGCCTGTTGAGTATTTCAAGCCTGCAGGCAGACTCTCCTTCAGAGAGTGAGGAGGAAGGTTCTGGGCTGGAGGTTGCCACTGCAGCTCATACGTGGACTCTGGTGCCTTCCCTCTTTGTAGAACCTTAGGTGGAAGCCTGTGAGCACAGAGTGGCCTGTTCCGACTGGTGCAGTCGTGAGGCTGCTGTCAACGGGAAACACTGATGCTGACAGGTGCTGCAGTGAAAATGCTGGCTCCCACACACATAGGTGCTTTGTCTGCAACAAAGTGCAAATTCTTCCAGCAGCTCCACCAGGTACGTATTATTATTATTATCTCTGATTTACAGATGAGGAAACAGAGGTTGAACAAACCTCCAAGCTGGTCAGTGACACAGCCAGGATGTGATCCAGGCAGTCTAGCTGAAAACTCTGGGCCCTTTCCGTGCTAAGACTTCTTTCTCAGTCCACAAAGGGTTAACGCCATAACTTCCAACCTGCACTGAGGACCCTCTGGCCCTGGGTTCAGGGAAGGAAGGCAAAAGTCCCCATGTTTGGCCAATACTGGCTAATCCTGTTGCTCTAGTTAAAAAGGAAAAAAATACTAGCTAACGAGCTAGAGGCGCCTGGTGCTGTATGGCAGCTGCAAGGGCCAACCGGGTGGGTGGAGGAGCAGGGACTTCCGCTTGTCACCAAGTCATTTGTGCCCCAGCATTCAGAAGGGTCACTGGCTCCAATAGCCTCCTTTCACTGATGAGGAAGTCAACGCCACAGAGCACAGGTGTGGCAGAGTAAGCTGAATCGAATCCTGTGACCCTAGAGTGCCTCATGCATTGCTATCCCCTGGGTTCCTCTGGCCCAGCCTGAGGACCCCCAGAAAGTCCTGGGAGGCAAGGTCTGACTGGCAGTGGTGGGAGGGTGGGCTCAGCTGTGCGGCTTGTTTTGAAGAGAGGGCCGCTCTCACCCCAGTGGTCATGGTGCTGTCTGTGAAGGTCCTACGCGGTGCAAGGACCCCTCCCCATAAAAGCCAGCGTGAGTGGCTGGGGCGCTGTGGTCCTCTGCTGGCTGCCCAGGCACTGCTGCTTGACCCACGGTGGCGGGGGGCAGGGGAGCACTCCTGAGGCCGCCCTGTCATCCTGGCTGCCAGACACCTAGATCCCTGGAGCCAGGGGACCTCACAGGTCAGGGAGCCCAGCCTCATGCCACAGAGAGGGAAACTAAAGTCCAGACAAAAGATGGAGAACTTGGCTGGGTATGGTAGCTCACACCTGTAATCCCAGCACTTTGGAAGGCTGAGGCAGGACAGCTTACGCCCAGGAGTTCAAGACCAGTCTGGGAAACATAGCAAGATCTCATCTGTACACAATTTTTTTTTTTTTTTTTTGAGACAGAGTCCCACTCTGTTGCCCAGGCTAGAGTGCAATAGCATGATTTCAGCTCAGTGCAACCTCCGCCTCCTGAGTTCAAGGAATTTTCCTACCTCAGCCACCCGAGAAGCTGGGATTACAGGCGCGCGCCACCACATCCAGCTAATTTTCTTTTGTTCTTTTAGTAGAGACAGGGTTTCACCATGTTGGCCAGGCTGGTCTTGAACTCCTGACCTGAGGTGTGCTTGGGCTTATAGGTGTGAGCCATCGTGCCCAGCCCCATCTGTCCAAAAATTTATTTAGTCTGGTGTGATGGTGCAGGCCTGTGGTACCTAGCTACTTAGGAGGCTGAGGTGGGAGGATCATTTGAACCCAGGAGTTTGAGACCATCCTGGGCAACATAGCAAGGCCCCACCTCTAAGAAAAAAAATTTAAAAATTGACCTGGCGTGGTGGCAGGCGCCTCTAGTCCCAGTTACCCAGGAGGCTGAGGCAGGAGGATCACTTAAGCCCAGGAGGTTGAGGCTACAGTGAGCAATGATCGTGCCACCGCAATCCAGCCTGGATGACAGGGCAAGACCCTGTCTCTAAAATTTAAAAAAATTAAAAAAAATTAAAAAAAACAGACGGTCACTTGCTCAAGGTCACATGGTAAATTACATTAGTCCCACAAAACAACTGAGTTGTCTTGAAAAGCGTCCAGCCTGCTGGCCGCAAAGGAGGACAGGCTGTCTGGGGAATGCTGGAGAAGGGGTCTCCATTCCTGGCAGGGGGGCGGGACCTGAAAGGTCTTTCTGACTCTGACCGCCTCTGAAGCTGCGGGGCGTCCTCGTTGGGGAGATGAGGAAGAGGCCTGCTGATGTGACACCTGTTTCCCTCCCGGACCTGCTCTCCCACTGTCTCCTCTGTCTTGTGCCGTTCCCTAAGGTCACGCGAGGGAGGGAGAGGGCGCCCAGAGGGACTGCACTGCCTGACTACTGGAGGAGGAAGGGCCTACTTCTGATGAGGAAGTGGTGGCCTGGGGCTTGTGCCCGCCCCTGGGGCAGGGCCTGGGGGTCCTGTGCTTCCGCATCCTTAAGTCTCAAGGTGTGAAGCAGAGGGGAAGGCAGGGCCAGGTCTGGGGTCACTTTAACTGTGCCTGAGCTGCTTAGAAGCGAGTATGACAGAAATGTGTCCATTTGCTGCTCAGGGCTAAGTGGTTTTTAATTTATATCCCCAAAGTAAGCTGGATCCAGAGGAATTTGGAGTTTGCTTCCAGAGGTCACCCAGGGGATTGCAGCAACCTGGAGGTCTCAGGCTGACACCTGGATGGGGAGGGTGTGTGTGTGGTGGGTGGGGAAGGGGACAGCTGTCTTGCCCCACCTAGGTCCCTTGGGATCTACCTCCCGCATCCTGTTCATCTCCATGGGGCAGGGCTGGGGCTGAGGGTGCCTGGGGAATGGGGGTACTGGCAACAGGGCCCAGAGGTTCTCAGGGAGTCTGTGGGACCAGCCTGGGACTGGGGTAAGCTGCTCCCCCTCCCAGTGGCCTTGTTTGTAAAATGGGAGTAGTGACTCGCTGCCCACCTCAAAGGGTCTTTATAAGGATCCAAAGAGACAGTGCCTAGGGAAAATACCCTGAGCACTGAAATGTCATTTATGACAATCCCCACTACTCCCCCAGCAAGCCCCTTCAAGCTGCTGGCTCTACTGATCTCTAAGGGACAGCCAGACTCAGGTCTCTGCAGCTGTGGCCAGGCTGCAGGAGTGGGGGCCATTCCACCAGGTGCATGCCTTACACTGGGGGCAGGGAGCAGAGGCCCAGGAGAGTGGGCACTGTCTACACAGCCTCCCCTGCCATGGCTTCCTCTCTGTCCAGCCAGATCCCATGGCACCCTCCCTCCTCCAGGAAGCCCTCCATGATCCCTCCATCCTGCCCTCCAAAGATGCTCCCTTCAGAGCTCCTGCCCCCATGCAAATCACAGCCCATCACTCTCCTACTGACAACCCTTCAAGGGCTCCCCACTGCCCTTCCAATAATGCCCAGGCCCTGCGTTAGCTGCTTTCTGCCTCTTTCCTCTGCTTAATCTCACACCCTTCTCCCTCCCCTGGGCTCCAGCCACCTGAACCTTCTTTCTGTTTATGAACAGAGCAAGCCTCAGGGCCTTTGCATCAGCAGTTCCCTCTGCCTGGAGCACCCTGCTCTCTCATCCTCCCAAGGAGGTCACCTCCTCAGGAGACATTTCCTGCCCTGTGCCCTTGCCCTCTCTCCCGGAGCTCTAGCATGTGTCCCTGTTTGTTCCTTTGCAGGTTCAATGTCAGGCTCTCCCTGGCAGGCCAGCCCCTTGATAACGGTGCCTCTGGGGCCCAGCACAGAGCCTGGCCCCCAGCAAGAGCCCAGTGAATGTTCGTGAATGAACGCATGGACAAGAGGGCCAAGGCAGAGCCAGTTCTTGGTCCATCCAGGCTGGCGAGGGCCGCTCTCTGATTCAGTCTCCAGTCCCTACATCCTAGATAGACAGGGTCAGGCTCGGGGCAGTGTGCTGGAGACTGTGGCAGCCTGGCTGGCCACACATCATGCAAGGTCCCCACCTCCTCCATCCTCCGCTGGGGTGGAAGTGAGGGGGCCTCTGGCAACATCTGTCCCTGCCCACAGGGCTTAGCCTGGAACCAGATCCCCACAAAGAAGATTAGAGGGCTGTGGGGAGGGAGAGGGCAGCCCATGGGCTGAAGGATGAGGAGGACTGGGCAGTGCAGGTGGCTGCTCGATTTGGCCCGGTGGCCTGAGGGAGCCAGATGGTGCTGACTTCTGACAAGCAGAGGAGCCCCAGGGGGGTCCTGGCTGCGTCCCTGTCTGGCATCCCTAATGGCCAAGGGCATCCCCTCTGGAGACAGGCAGGGCCTCGGCTGGAATCCCAGGCCCACCTCTAAGGCTGTGCACCCTTGGGAAGTCAGTTACAAGTCTCAGTTTCCTCCTCTGTAAAATGGGGAGTGTTGCAGGCCAGGCTCACTGAGGGGATTTGGTGGGACGGCATATTCTGTGGGCCGGCTCCCCACCGGGCACAGAACAGATGCTTTGTCACGATAGCTGTGGCCGCTATTTCTTCCTCTCCAGGCCAAGGCCATGTGGGCCTTTTGTCTCCTCCCATCTTTTCAGGAAGCCTGGTGCCCGTGGACCATGCCCACTGTTCCCGCCTGGCCAGACATCCGCCATGTCCCTCCTCTCCCAGCCTCAGGCTAGGCGGGTTCCCCTGCCATCTGTTTACCCACATTCCTTTCAAAGCGGACTCAGGGCCTTCTGAGCAGCTGCCCTCTCTGGTCATCACACTTATGGACACAGGCCACATGGCTGGGGACATTCCCAAGCTTTGAGTGACTTTCATGGGTCCTGTTAGATGGCAAGCTCCTTAGCCTGGCCGATCATACCACAAACTCTGGACCTGGCCTCTGCCCAGTTTGCAGCCTCGACCCTTCCAGTTCTCTGGCCTCTTGCAGATGCTGTTCCGTGTGCCTGAGCACTCCTGCTCCCCTCTGTTGCTTGGCAGAGTCTGGCACACGAAGGGTGGCTCCTTTCCTTTCCTCCGTTTTCCACGCCCCGTCCCGCCACCCAGCCAGTTCAGGATTCCCTTCTCTGTGCTGCCTTCACTGTGGACATGATTTTCTCAGTCACTTCTTTATACATCTGCCTCCTCCACTACAGAGGAAACCAGGCTCGGTGAAGCCTTATTCATCTTCAGTTTCCCCGGACTTAGCAGAGGGATCATACGTGATCAATGAGAGATCAATGCTTATTTGGCTAGATGGATGGATGTAAGAGGGGTTCAATCAATGCTTACCTGAATGGATGGATGACGACAAAAGAAGCTCCACACGTTTGCTAAGTGAATGAATGAATGAACGACTGGATAAAAAATGGCTGAAAACCCTTTGAGAGTCTCTCTACTGTGCTTATGATGAAAGAGTGACCCACAAAGTGAGCCCTGAGTCTTTCTCATCAAGTGTGGGAACCCACACAATCCCTAGGGACTGTGCCTCCTCATCAATTCCAGGTCCCCTGGGGGGTGTGCACATGGGGGACACACCCAATAGGGCCATCCCCCTAGCACCAGTGTCTTCCCAGGGACCCAACTCTCACTGGTGTCACCTCCCAATGTCTGACAACCTCTCTGACACCTGGACGGGCACACTAGCCCTCAGCTGACGTTCCTGGGCAGGAATGCAGGTGCACAGGGTGCAGACTCACCGTCAAACAGCCCATCAGGCTCTGCTCAAAGGGCCGCTGGAAGGCCCGTGGGTCTCCACACCAGTCCAGCAGCTCCGTGGCAGCATTGTGGAAGTTGGCAGGATTCTGTAAGTGCTGTGGGAAAGGAAAATGAGGTGGCTCAGGCTCCAGGAATGAGGGTAGCATGGGCAGCATGTGGGCGTCTAGAGTGGGAAGACCCCAGCCTCACTGGGGAGGAGGTTCACGGAAAGGGGTAAAGGGGTAGTTGGGATCAGTGGGCTTTCTCATGCTCGATTTCACCCCCTGTGCTTGGCATGCCTGCCCCACCCCCACCCCCACCTCCACCCCTGGTGGATTAGTAGCCCCATTGCAAAGACAGGAAAACTAAGGTCTAGAGAAGGCTGATGACTAATAGCAGAGTGCTTTCTGGATGCTGGTGGGGGTAGCGGAAGGCAAACCCTGCAGGGTTCTGGGGGTTCTCCCTCCCTGATCCAGGACAGGCCGGCCCTGGAGATTCCTTCCTGACCACCCCCCACCGCCCAGCCCTCACCACCAAAGCCCAGGTCTGGGCTCCCACCAGCTCAGGCTTTGGAGCCACATAAGGTGAGGGCTTGGGGGAGGCCACAGCCAGCTGGGAAGGTGGAGGAAGCACACGTGCCTGGACTGTCCTCACACTAGGGGCTGCTGTGTGTCTTACTGGGCCCTGCCTGGATCTGCTCAGAGGCTGCTGGCATGGACGGGGAAGTCAGCCTGAGCTCAGATCCCTGCCAGGCAGAGAGTCTGAGTCGATGGAGACTGAATTCTGGTGCCAGGGTGCCGGGCCTCCTGGTTCTGCTTCAGGCCCAGGCTGCAGGGCTGCTGGGGTGGGTGAGGTGCAAAGCGAAGGGGGTGGTTCCCCTTCACTCTTATCCATCTCCCCAGGCCCTCTGAGCTGGGTACTGAGTCCAGGAGACAAAAGATGTGGCTAGGGGAAGGAGCAGATTAGGGGCAAAGGTGAGATTCTGGGATGGGGCTCTGGTCCAATTTGGCTGTGACTGACTGTCCTCCTGAAGGACCCCCGGAGGGTGTCCACAGCGCAGGAGCGTTAACCATTGCAGGGATGATGGCACCTCCTGAGGTCCCATTGCCTTGGTGCTGGGAGAGACAGCAGAACAGGAGCCACCCAGGGCAGTCCCTCCATTTGACCTGCAGCATGAGCCTGCCCCAGAGCCAGGGCGGGAAGGGGCTTAGGAGTCGCAGGGCCCAGAATTGGCAGGGGAGCTATGGGAGTCCACACTCTGCCTTCACCCCCTTCCAACCACTGACCTAGGATGGTTCCTCTCGGCTCTCTGAGCCTCAATAGCCCTGTCTGTAAAATGGGGATATGACAGAACATGACTTGGTGGTGGGAAGTTTTATTTCTTTCGCTTAAGGTTCCATGACTATTGCTACAATGTGGTTCATGCAAGGCAAGATATTTAAAAATGGGTGGAGGAAAGTGAAATGAAGAATGCCCTCCTTCCATGGAGGTAAAGGGAGAGAAAGCGATGTAGGAGAGAAAGAGGGCAGGCAAGCAGCAACAAAGGCCTCCGTCACAGGGCTGCAGTGAGGCTTAAACAAGATGAGGCTTATGTGGCCCCTGGCAAAGTGCCTGGAGCATGGGGTGCTCCCATGTGGGGCTGCCCTTGCCCCTGACTGTCTCCCAAAGGCTCCCCTGGAAGCACAGCTGCACGTGGCCGCTCTCAGCCCTGGCTCCTTCTGCAAAGGCGGTGCTCCCTGCATTTGAATTGTGCGAGACGGAAGGAATTTCAAGATACAGAAACAAGCCCTCTGTGAGGGCAGCGGCGGGTCCTCACCTCTGCCTCCTGTGCCCTTTCTCTAAAGCATGCCCCTCAGAGGCCACAGGTGGTATCTGGGCTGCATGTGGAAAGCCATGCAAACAGCTGATTCCTGCCCACCAGCCACCCCTGCTAACCGAGTTGTTCTGTTTATTTCAGTGCTGTCACACCCAGTTAGCAGGGTCAGGAGCCACTGCATGCTGCCTCAGAGCTGCCTGCCCCCAGCTGGTCACAGCACCCCACTTTGGGGCTCTGGGTGCAGGGGTGGCCTCTGAGGTCAGTCTCAGAAGCCCAGTCTGGTTCTGGCACCTGAATGCCCAGCCTTCAGTATCTCACCAGCCTTCTGAGCTTACCCCAGACAGCTCATGTGGCCTGTAGGCTGTGGGTACATCTCACTGCTGAAGAAAACATCAGAAAACACCTTTGCTGGTGTTTTTTTTTTTTTGACAGGGTCTCATTCTGTCACCCAGGCTGGAGTATAGCAGTGCAATCATAGCTCACTACAGCTTTAGTCTCCTGGGCTCAAGGGATCCTCCCACTTCAGCTTGCCAAGTAGCTTGGATTACTGGTGAGCACCACCATGCCTGGCTACTTTTTGTTGTTGTTGATGTTTAATAGAGACGAGGTCTTGCTATGTTGCCCAGGCTGGTCGTACACTCCTGAGCTCAAGCAGTCCTCCCACCACGGTCTCCCAAAGTGTGGGAATACACTGCTGGCTACTGTGCAGCTCTTTGGCCTTGGCCAAGCCCCTCCCCTCTCTGTGCCCTTGTCGCCTATTTCAACCATGAGGTGACTGAAGTGCACAGAGAGACAAAGTGATCTAGTGAAACAAGCAGGACAGACATGGTCCAAACCCCGTCTGAGTCGCTGAGCCATGCAGCCCAGGAGACGGTGCTGCACATCAGACCCCACATCTGTGAAACGGGGCAGTGACGGCATTCAGGGCTGCTGCAAAGTTGAGAAACGACAAGGAACTCATGACAGAGCAGGAGCCCAGGGGAAGACTGCTACTGCTATTGATGCCAGGGACCCTCCACGGTTCCCTGTTTCCCTTGTGAGCCTCTTGAGGGGAGAAACAGCCTCCTTCCTGTTCACCTCTGGAACCCCAAAGGCTGGCACAAGGCTGGGCCCCATGGGAAATGATTGGGGAGCAGTTAACTGTCCAAAGGATGGTGAGCCTGCTGTGTAGGCCAGCAAGGTGGCCACTGCAGAATGAGCCCCAGTGGGAGGTGGAGGGAGGGGCCAGGGCAGGGCAGGGGTGAGCTTGGCCAGCCATTGATGGGCTGGGGATGGGAGCACACGTTTGAATCATAGGCAGAGGCCTCCCTAACTGTCGCTGTTACTGGACACTAGTACTCTGTCCCCCATCAGAAAGCCTGCCCATCTCTATAATTCCTCATAAGAGTTGGGCTATATCCAAAGGCATTGAATCTGCTGGGGCAGGAACAGGGCACAGCAATGCCTTGAAATGATGAATTCATCTTATCAATCCATCTGTCCACTAGTCCATCTGTGAATCAAATGATTCATCCATTCATCAATCTATGCATGTATCCATCCATCCATCCATCCATCCATCCATCCATCCATCCATCCATCCTAAATGAATCATTTCATCCATCTGTCTGCTTGCCAACCCACCCATTCATCCATTCACCACTTTATCCACCACTCATCCATCCCTTCATTCATCTACCTATCTGCCCATTCATCCAGAAGTTAATTTATCCAGTCACCCACCTATCTGTTTATTCATCCATTTATCCATTCATCATCTATACATGTCCACCCACCCACCCATCTAACTATCTGCCCATATGTCCATCCATCCATCCATCCATTCCCTTACGTATCCATCTATCAGTCCACCCCTCTCCTCAGCCCACCCAAAATAGTTGGGCCCCACTCTGAGCTGGATGCTATGCTGGATTCTGTGATTTTGAAATGAATATGGCACATCCTCTGCCCCCAAGGAGCTCAACCTGGTGGGAGACCTGATGTATTCCTACAGGGCCCATAGCTCCAGAGAGACAGAGCAGGGTAGGTGAGATAGCTGGGTGCACAGGAAGTGTTCTAGCTCAGGGATGGGGTATAGATGCTCAGAAGGGCCCCTGGGGTTCTGGGCAGCTGCTGAGCAGGAATGAGCTGATGTGCAGGGCTCTCCACGTGGAGCTTGGATGTGCCAGTCATCTCTGAGAAGGGCATGTTGCAGAGAGGAAGCACTGGTTCTCCCAGTACCAAGAGGCTGAGAAGGGACAAAGGCAGCTGAGATAGAGGCTGTGAAGAGACATGGTCAGCAGGGTGCAGAGGGCGGGGGTTGGTGAATGTCAGCAAAGGCTACAACCAAGGTGAGGGCAGGAAGGGATGGCTGTGTGGAGAGGTGAGGGAACCACAGCCCCTACCGGCCCGAAGTCTGCACAGCCGACACATCCATCATCTCAGCTTGTGCAGACATGCTTGCCTTTCTCTTCTGATTAGGTTACAGGATGCCTGAGAATCAACAACCCCCAGCCAGCCGAGGCTGCCTTCTAGGGCAGCTGTGGAGCAGACAGATGTCAGCACGGAGCTGTGTCTGACCGGGGGTGTGGGAGGAGGGGCATGGAGCATGCAGGGAGCTCTGGATGGCCCAGGGGACATCCGGGCAGGTTGCTCACACTCACAAATGCACCACTGCCTGGCTGAAAGGCAGAGCCCTCTATGTGTGTGCATGCATGTGTGTGCCAGGGCAGGTGAGGGAGGGTGGTGTGGGCTCTGGCATGTGCTGGCTGAGTGTGCATTAATTATAATGCCCATTTTATAGATGAAGGGAGGTGAAGCAGCAACTTAAGGCTGTATAGTTTGTAAGTGACGCAATGGTGACTGAGCTGTGTGCCATGCTGTGAGGGGCTTCTGGTGGGCTCTGCCCAAGCTAGACCCAGGGAGGGCCAAGGAAGTCAGGTGCACCCTGACCCCTGGTGCTACGGAGCTGGGTGCCGAGAGGAAAGAGGGTGAGAGCAGGTCTCGGCAGGGTGATGTGCCTGCCATGTGGAGGGTCTCATGCACAGGAGGTATGAGTGTCTCATTGCGGGGGCAGGGCCACTGCCAGCTGAGCAAAGGGTGGGAGAAACGGGGTGAAAGGCAGAGCTAGGAGAGAACCCTGCAGAACCCTAAGTGGGAGGAGGGAGGGTGGGGGAGGAGGGAGTCTCGGCGTCTGGTTTCTATTCTGCCATGGTGAGCAGAGGCGCGTAACGGGCTTTTGGGAGAGCCATTGGGGTTGGGTTCAATCCATAACAAGTCTTCTTCAATTTCCTCTCCACAGACCCCGCACGGACTTCAAGATTGCTCTGCTCGATGCTAATAAGAGGACACACACCCCTTGTTCTCGTGGAATAGCCTCAGTTCTACTGGGCAGGCACCTTGGGGAGGCTCTGTCTGGGCCCTGGCCCTCAGGGAGGGAAGGCTGGGTGGGGAGGGGCCTGTGAGCTCCACCTGGCTGGAACCCAGGGGCCAGCAGCCCATGCTGGTTGCCTGAGCTTCTTGCTAAGCTGGCCTAGGCCAGGGGCCCGAGCCCCAGCACTCCCTTCCCTGTCACATATTGAGGACAATGGCCACCACTGCCATTAGCTGATCACCCACCACACACCAGGGCTGGGCTACGTGTCTCACTCGTAACATCCTCACATCATCCTACGAGGTGGGCCCTATTTGACACATGGGGAAACTGAGGCTCAGAGAAATGGAGGACTAGCTTGAGATCCCATCGTGGGTCCATAGAATAATGAGGACTTGGGTCCAAGGCATCTGACACCAAAGCCCGTGCCCCTCTCGCTGTACCTGGTCCTTCCTGGAGTGAATAACGTTCCTTGGTAACGTTAACAGGGAAGCTACCAGCCTGGGCTGTGGGAGCTGGGCCCAGCGGTTGGGCGCGTCACTCCTGACCACCGCTTGGGGGCGCCCCTGTGAAAGGTTCCCCACCTCCCCGCAGTCCAAATAGAGGAACTCCTGGGCAGCCTGCCTCCTGGGCTTGGTGTGAGCTTCGGCAGGGTGGGGACCATGGCACTCTCTGCAATGAGGTCTTCCCAGCACCAGAGGGGCTGAGTGGCCTCAGGCTACCCACTGCTCTTCTCTGTACTTGTTTCCTTTCCTGTAAAACGATACGATTTCCTAGGACCTCTTCCCTTGTGGCTTTTTTTTTTTTCTTTTTTAAAAAATAGAGATGGGGTCTCACTATGTTGCCCAGGCTGGTTTCAAACTCTTGGCTTCAAGTGATCCTCCTCCCTTAGCCTCCCAAAGTGCTGAGATTACAGGTATGAACCACTGGGCCCAGCCTATAATGGGTTCTTCTTTTTAAATAAATTAGTAAATATTTTTAAATTTTCTCAGCTTTAATTTTTCTTTCTTTCCTCTTTTTTCTTCCCCCGCCCGAGACAGAGTCTTGCTATGTTACCCAGGCTCGGATCAAACTCCTGGGCTCAAGCAATCTTCCTACCTTGGCCACTCAAAGTTCTGGGATTACAGGCGTGAGCTGCCACACCCAGCCTGTGACTTTTTTTTTATTTTTATTTTTAAGAGAACAACTGGAGCAAAGGGGTAGGGAGCTTAGTTCTGGGGAGGGAGGTGGTGGGAGGGAGATGGAAGTGCCAGGTGCATCACTGCATCCTTGCACATAAACAGAGCCCAGAGAGGCCACAACACTGGCCCAATGTCACACAGCTGGGAAGGGTGTGCAAAGGGACAGGGGAGCATTGGCACTGAAACCCAGGCAGGTGATTCCAGCATTAGGCTGGTCGGTGCCAGCATGCCAATAACGGCCTCGATAGGTAGGTGGTCAGGAGGCCCTGCCATCCACTCCAGCCAGCACCCGCTGGATGCCCTGTTGCTATAGCATAGGTGTGCTGCTCTGTCCGCCCCATCTGTCCCGCCCTCAGAGTGTGCCTTGCCCCACACCCACCTGCTTGATGCACTGCAGTCGGTCATTGGTCTGCTGGATGTGCCTGTCCATAGAATTCATTCTGGCCGTTTCGCTGGGTTCTACCCGAGAGCCATGAACGTTGTCCAGCCTGCGAAGAGAAAGGAGAGGGTGTTATTGGATTATGCCAGGCCTGCCGACCTTGCACCAGCCTCCCAACTGCCCTCTGGCCACAACACTGGTAGGTTCCAGAGCCCTTTGCTGGGCCCTGTGGGGCTGCACCTGGGGTACCTCACTGGGCTGAGGGCAGGAAAATGTTCCAGGTGCTTTCCATGTGTGCACTGGGTAGGCATGCCCACATTTCTTTTCTTTTCTTTTTTTTTTGAGATGGAGTTTCGCTCTTGTCACCTAGGCTGGAGTGCAGTGGTGCGATCTCAGCTCATTGCAACCTCTGCCTCCCAGGCTCAAGCGATTATCCTGCCTCAGCCTCCGGAGTAGCTGGGATTACAGGTGTCCGCCACACACCTGGCTAATTTTTGTATTTTTAGTAGAGATGGAGTTTCACCATGTTGGCCAGGCTGGTCTCGAACTCCTGACCTCAGGTGATCTGCCCACGTCAGCCTCCCAAAGTGCTGGGATTACAGGTGTGAGCCACCACTCCCAGCCAGTTGCACACATTTCTGTACGTGCATGTGTGTTTTGGTTGGTGGGAGGGGTGGCAATTCCCCTTGGATTCCTGGTTCAGGGCTTGGCCCGTGTGTGTGTGTGTGTACGTGTGTCTGTGTGTGTGTACGTGTGTGTGTGTGTTCATACATGTGCAGGGGGACCTTCCCATATGATGACCTTCAGTGCACGTGTGCTCTGAGTGGAGAGCTCAGGTGGCATCTGCCCTTCCCCAGTCCCTCAGGCTTTAGAGTTCTTCATAATTTACAAACCACTCACAACTGTTTTTTTCACTTTGCCCTCTTGGAAAAGGAGGATAAGAATGAGCACCACAGCTATTTTCTAGATAAAGAAACTGAGGCTGAGAGACAGAAAGAGAAAAGCCAGGGTGGCACAGCAAGTGGTGTCTGAGCCCACACCAGGAACCAGGGTTCCTGACTGCCAGCCCGCGGTTTCCATTGTGCAAGGCTGACAGTGCGGGTGCAGGGATGGCTTGGCACTAGGCTCACCCTTCCTGAAGTGTGGGAGAAGGGAGCGTCAGGGCCATTAACATGAATGGGACTTCCCTCTGGATGACAGAGCTAAGTGGAGGAAGCTCCCTCGGCTTGAAATAGCCCCAGGAGTCCCCAGGCCGCTCCAGGGAGGCCACACAGCAATGGCAGAAATCTAGGTAGAGAGAGGAAGGACTGTAAGGCCCTAGTCCACCCACTGCTCAGGGATCCAGGTTCTTGGGCCAAGTCAGAAGTCTGCCCACTGCCAGCTCAGTTTGCCCTCCTGCCCCCAGGGGACAGTTCAGGCTGCAGACATCTGCGTCAGACCCAGGGTGCTGGACAGGAGACCTGGAGCCCTAAGCCTTCTCTGCTACTCTGCCACACTCCCCACTAAAGACCCCTCATCTCTGGCCATGTCACCCTGGACTTTTCATGTGCTGGACACCTGCATTCTCTCCTTTCCTCTTCACACCCACTCTGTAAGGCTAGGATCATCTCCATTTTACAGGTGAGGAAACTGAGGTCCCCAGATGTGCCAAATCCTTGCAGTTGGTGGAAGTGTAGGTGTGTCTGCCTGCCTGTCTGCTTTCTACACACGCTCGTTGAGGGAACCAACACCATTGCCCGGCCCCAGCCTTTGGAAGAAAGTCCTGTTCCTCCTCCAATTGCTTTAAAGGATGTGTAGCTCTTGCTGCAATTCTTATTGCTCCATGTGTGTCTGAAAAGGTAATTCATTTGCATGGTTCAAAAATCAGAAAGTCCACAAAGGTATCCAGTCCTGGGTCCAGGCCCTGTCCCCAGGCCCCTGGTGCCTTTTCTAGGAGAACCAGTGCCATCAGTCCCCCTTCTGAAGAGTCTCATCTAGAAGCAAATATCTACACGCACTTTTTCTTGCCACATTTTTAAAAACAGAAAATAACAATACACATTATTTGGACGTCGCTTTTTTCTTCCTCTTGATACATCTGAAAGTTTATTCCACATCAAGACATAAAGAGCATCTTTTTTTTCTTTTTTCTTTTTTTTTTTTTTTGACAGTTTCGCTTTGTTGCCCAGGCTAGAGTGCAGTGGCACAATCTTGGCTCACTGCAACCTCCGCCTTCCGGGTTCAAGCGAGTCTCCTGTTTCAGCCTCCCGAGTAGCTGGGACCACAGGCGCTGCCACTATGCCTGGCTAATTTTCTTTTTTTTTTTTTGGAGACGGAGTCTTGTACTTTCACCAGGCTGGAGTGCAGTGGCGCGATCTCGGCTCACTGTAAGCTTCGCCTCCCAGGTTCATGCCATTCTCCTGCCTCAGCCTCCCAACAGGCGGCCCGCCACCACGCCCGGCTAATTTTTTGTACTTTTAGTAGAGACGGGGTTTCACCATGTTAACTAGGATGGTCTCGATCTCCTGACCTGGTGATCTGCCCACCTCGGCCTCCCAAAGTGCTAGGATTCATGTGCCACCGCACCCGGTCACACTTGGCTAATTTTTTGTATTTTTAGTAGAAATGGGGTTTCACTGTGTTAGCCAGGATGGTCTCGATCTCCTTACCTCATGATTCGCCTGCCTTGGCCTCCCAAAGTGCTGGGATTACAGGTGTGAGCCACCGCGCCCGGCCACCTTTTCATTTTTTAATGGCTGCACAGTATTCCTAGGTATGATGAAGCATCATCCAACTAACATGGGTCCACTGACCCTCTGCCAGGTGCTGTTCTAAGGCTTGAGCCCGCAGACAAGGCCCCTCTGCTCAGGGGGCTCACACTCCAGCCTGAAACGAGGGACCCTGAACCTGTTTCCAAATTTTTCTTTTTCTTTCTTTTTCTTTCTTTTTGAGACTGAGTCTCCCTCTGTCTCCCAGACTGGAGTGCAATGGCATGATCTTGGCTCACTGCAGCCTCCGCCTCCCGGGTTCAAGTGATTCTCCTGTCTCAGCTTCCCAAGTAGCTGGGATTACAGGCGCATGCCACCACGTCCGGCTAATTTTTTTTATTTTTAATAGAGATAGGGTTTCACCATATGGGCCAGGCTGGTCTCAAACTCCCGATCTCAGGCGATCCGCCCACCTTGGCCTCCCGAAGTGCTGGGATTACAGGCGTGAGCCACCGTGCCTGGCTCCAAATTTTTATCATTGCAGTGCTGCAGGAATAACTGTTCATACCGGCACATCACATGTGTGTGAATTAGTCTAGAGAACATACACTCAGAAGTGGACTTGCTGGGTCATCTGGGACTCTGTACTTCGGTAAGTGCTTTCTGGAGCTCTCCAGCAAGAAGGGGAAAATGGGGGTTGTGCGCATACTTATTTCTTCCACCGTCACCCTGCCAACCATCCGTCCATTCATCCCACCCGCCGCCCAATTTCTCCACCCATCATTTATCCATCGAAATACCTGCCTGGGGAAGGAGGAGGAGGGTGATACAGCACCCAAAAAGAAAAATTTTAAAAATAACAATAATAAAAACTAATGCCCGCCTGTTCACCTGTCTACTCATCCATTCAAACATCTTTAGTCTCCACTTGCTCATTCGTACATGCTTACGCTCTCCCAAGAAATGCTCTTTGTTTTGTTTTGAGACAGGGTCTGTCTCAGTCAGGCTGGAGTGCAATGGCATGATCTTGGCTCACTGCAGCCTCCGCCTCCCGGGTTCAAGTGATTCTCCTGTCTCAGCTTCCCAAGTAGCTGGGATTACAGGCGCATGCCACCACGTCCAGCTAATTTTTTGTATTTTTAGTAGAGACGGGGTTTCACTGTGTTAGCCAGGATGGTCTCAATCTCCTGACCTTGTAATCTGCCCACCTCGGCCTCCCAAAGTGCTGGGATTACAGGCATGAGCCACTGCGCCCGGCCGAAATGCTGTTTAATAACGATACCATGCAGGGTCCTAGGCTAGATGGATTGGGCGTGCAGAGATTAAAATGAAATCATCTTCTTGTGTTCAAAGAACTCTTGGTCCAAGCCCATATTTACCTATTAGATGACCATGTGCTGAGCTCCTACAAGTCAGGTACTGGTCCAGGCAGAGCACAGGTAAGAGAATGTAGTTACATCCCCATTTTACAGATGAAGAAACTGAGGCTTGGAGATTACAGCTTGTTGGGTAGGAGCCAGCTCAAGAATCCTGGCTTTCCCTTTACAATTTTCACTCTTGAACAGGTCCTGGGGAGGCGGTAGGATACAGGTGTGCGTGTGTGTGTGTGTGGTCTGGGTCGGCAGGGGTGTGATCAGGGCAGCTCCGCTTGCTACTTCTGTAGGTCACCCAAGCGGGAGCTGAATATGTCCTCCTGAGTTTACCCACACAGACCCTCAGCCAGCATCCACATGACAAAGGCTCCTGGGGCCAGGGACAAACCATGGTGGGGAAGACAAGGACACAGAGAGCCCAGAGCAGGAGCAAGACACTGCCACCTTCAGCAAGGCCATCTCAGTTCCTGGTGCCAGTCCCCATCACAGCCAAAGGACCTTGGTGGTCTCCCAGGCACCACGTGACACCCCTGCAGCGGTGAAGGCCTGGGTCCCATGTGGGGGCATGGGTGAACACTGGTAGCCAGGGTTCCAATAGAGAATTCAACTTTCACAGCCAGCCAGGACAGGGAGACCCATCCCACAAAGGCCTGGGCTGGCTCAGCTCCTAGCTGGAGGAGATGGAAGAGAAGTACAAAGAAACCCCATGCCTGGCAGGCCTTCATCCCCCTGTCAGCAGGCCACTGACCACCAGGACAAAGGGCCACCGGTGGCCCAAGCAGCCAGCAGGGGGCGCTGTTGACAAACCTAAGTGACCTGGGGGCCAGACCTGAGCACCATGGAGGTTCTAGGTGTGCTTCCAGGCCCTCTGTCCTCTCCCTCACTCCAGTGAGCACCCAGATGTCCCCAGCCAGGATAGACTTTGAGTGGGTTTCTCTGGTTTCGTGGCCTTGGTTTCCCCATCAGCAGAACAGGATGCTACAGAGGGGTAACTCAGTGACCTCATAAGGGTCTACTTCTGAAGAGGAACTTTCCCCTGACATTGTGTC